CATTTCAAAATGGTGTACTAGAAGAAGTAGAAGACAGCAATGATCGCTTGGGTCAAATATGAGACGATCTTTCCATGTGGAATATAAGAGAAGAGATTACGATCTTACGATATAAATATATGTAAGCAATTTGAGTTTTTCTATGTAACATATCCTCTTCTATATTTCAAAGCGTCAAAGACCATCTTCCCATTTGTCAGACCATTAGTTCTAAAAGATATATGGCTATGCAGCCATTAGAGGTCTTTAAAGAGCCAACAGGTTCTTTCTAATATAAATTATGATAATTATACAATAATGCCTGTCTTATAATTCCTTCTAATAGATAATAGATATAATCGTCTTCTAATTGCCTAAGATCTCATCAGCTCTACAGCACAGTCACAGACACTTGAGAGCAAATTACGCAAACATTTTTGCAAACATGATCTCAGTTAATTGTAAACAACAACAACAACAGTAGCAGCAGCAGCAACAACAACAGCAGCAGCAGCAAAACGAGCTAGAGGTGTGCGTAGAATCATCTTCTGCTTGGAATGTCAACAATTCCGATTGCATATTCTTATTGGCATTCGCATGTGCCCACGCACAGTCTATATATACATATACATATGTACATATATGTATGTCTATAGATTCTGCTTGCTCAAATAAATACAAATTTATGAAATCTTTTACTTTGACAGCATTTTTGGCATTTTGAAACACGTTTACAGGTGTTTCTCGTTGTTGTTGTTGTTTTTGTTGTTGTGCCTGCAAGCTCAAGTCTGTACATATATATGTATCTATGTATATATGTAAATACATATGTACACGTATAGATATTTTCACAGCCAAACGAGTTTCGAAATGTGCGATCTTTTTGTTAACTGGGTAATATTCATATATTTAGCTAATCCTCTGGAGGGTATATGCACGTAACTAGGTGGTATGTAACACCTGTGACTATCTATCTATCTCTCTGTCTCGCTCTCTGTCTCTTTCTCTCTCTCTCTCTCTCTCTCTCTTTCTCTTTCTCCCTCTCTCTCTCTCTCTCTTTGCGTCTCTCTTTATCTATTCCTCTCTCACTATATCTAGTAGGGTATTTGGGCATGGGCATACCTTAGCTAACCTTGCCTATCTCTCTTTTTCATTTAGCCATAAAATATGTTCCCATTGCCAATTTGAATATGTTGAAACTATTAAAAAGACGCTTCTCCTTGTCTCTGTTCGCTTCCCTATTGCTTTCATTACCCAATTCGAAGCGTGTGTTGCCCCTGCGTTCATTCACCAATTGGAATCTCGGCTCCCATTCGTTCTCCATTCCACATTGGAATTTTTATATCCGCGTACCTTCCCTGTTCATTTCTTCCAATTAGATACTCTTTCTAATGCTCTGCTTCTTCCATACCCTTTGCAAATTCGCTCTTACACCGTTTTTATTTGTTCATATTATAGTTCCTTTTCTGTTGGTAATCTTTCATAGTCAATTAATTCCTAATTAGAATTTGTATTACCTCTTCTGCTCTCTGACTTCTGTGAGCTGTTTATTTCCAAATGGCGCATGTTCATCTATTCCATTTTTCATTGGAATATCTTATCTCACCTCTTGCTTTCGATTCCAGTTGTATTGCATACCTGCAATTCATTTCCATTATTTTCCATTGGAATCTCTTTGCATTTCACGGCTCGCTTTCCTGTTCCCTACTAATTCCAATTGGATCGCGTCGCTTTATTCCGTTTCTAATCATTCCACATTGATAAATTCCTTGTCTCTCCCAATTAGAACCCATTTTTTGCATTTCCACTCTCTTCCTTATTCAACTCGGCATATTTTGACTCTGCCAACAATAACTTTAAATTTATTCATAAAACTTATAAATTATAAAAAAAAAATATTTTGTCATTTCAAATTGATGTTAATCCTCTTTCTTGGCTCAGTACCAACTGCGCGAATAGGCGTTTGCCTTGGCATAAGCACTGCTGCTGCTGCCGCCGCCTCCTCCATGGCTGTAGCTGTTGGCGCTGCTGCTGGCATAGGAGCCGCCTCCGGCGCCGCCACCACCGCCTGGATGACCACCGCCCCCGCCGCCTGGATGACCTCCGCCGCCACCGCCACCGTAGTGTCCTCCTCCCCCGCCGCCACCGCCACCGTAGTGTCCTCCTCCCCCGCCGCCGCCTTGATAGATGGGCTTAACCACATACACCTCATATATGGCTGGCTTATGGATACCGCCACCGCCTGGATGACCACCACCACCGCCACCTGGATGACCGCCACCGCCACCACCTCCATATCCCCCACCACCTCCATATCCACCACCGCCACCAAATCCACCGCCGCCGCCAAATCCACCGCCGCCACCAAATCCACCGCCGCCACCACCACCACCGCCTCCATGTCCAAAGAGCAGCTTCTTCTTCAGCTGCAACAGCGAGGGCGTGGCCAGCGCCAGGCAGGTGCTAACGAGCAGCCAAGTCAAGAGCAGCTTCCAGTGTTGCATCGCAGATCCGGCTCGTCTCTGTTTCTCTATGTGATGCACTGCGATGTCTACGATTCCAAGCAACTGCTGCTGGTCAACTAAACGAACTTTTGCTCATTCCCGGCTAATTTATAAAGGTTCTCAGCTAGGGCTGTCTCCCATTGTATTTGGCTCGTTTCGAAGTCGTCATCCAAAGCGCATTTTTCTCGCCGGATGCACTGAAACTTGCATCACGTATACGGCAACAACAGCTGCAACAACAACAACAACAGCAAGAGCAACTAAATGAAGCGAGTCTAAGTCTGACTGGCAACAGGAGCCGCTACAGCTGAAACCCCAAATAACTAGCTAATTTGACTTTCAGTTAATTGGAAACAGTTCATAATTTTGTTCGTAAATTTAGTCATCCTTAACCGTTTCATTATCAATCAGTAGGGGAATGAATCAATGAATGGAGTCCAACTAGAATTCCATATAGCTTTATAAATGTCGACTCAATCAGAAGCCGAAGTCTTAGAGTCTAATTAGAATTCAGTATATATTGGTATGAATTGTACATCAATTTATCTTTAAGTCAATTATTATTATTCAGCCATGTTATTCAGTCATTCACCCAGCAAGTAAGCTAAAATCAGTCAACCATTCAATCGATCACTTTATCAATCAGCTAACAAAAAAAAAAAAAAAAAAAAAAATTTAAGTCGGCGTCTCTGCAATCAATCAACCTCTTCAGTTAATGAAGAATTAGATTATATTGGAAATATTACTCATACGCCCCATTAGCAGCGATTCGGTTAGCTCAGCTTAACTAAGCAGCTCGTTTAATGTAGCGCATTTCGACTATATAAATTGTTCCGCAAGTAAAATCTATCATAATTAATTACAAGCATTGCTTACCTGGTAAATCCCACTTGCTCATCATTCCCAAACAGAGAACATTTTACGAATATTTGAATGCAGTCTATACATCTCTCTCTCTCTCTCTCTCTCTCTCTCTCTCTCTCTGACTCTCTTCTTTTGTCTCTCGCTTGTTAATTTGCAGCTAGTTTGCCTGCGGATATCCATTGAATATGCAATAATTTCTTGTTATTCACAATTTTAGTTTTATAATTGAGTTTACTGTCATCTTAATGTTAGACTTGCTGTCAAACTTGACAGCTACTTTGTTCTAACTGTGATATTTAAATACTTTACCCTCTACATATGTTTTCTTCAGCAATACTCAGCATAGATCTCAGCTGAACTACCTGCCAAAATTCGACAAGTGATCCATCTTCATGTCAAATTCAACATTCAAGTAAAATACAGTAGGGGAAATTACTTCAAATAAATATAAAATATAAAATTGCTAAGCATTTAAGTCTAATGAGTCATGATTTAATTATGGCTGCATCACCTAGTCGTGTATACCCGGCGTCAATAACACAGATGAGCAACTGTTGTTGCATTCATCGCCGTCATCTTTAGGCAGGGACTCCACCCACTTGCCAATCGCAGCCTAATTAAAAAACTCTCAAATAAAATGAGACTTTAAATTATTCCAGAAATTCCCCTAGAGCAACGCTTCAATCGGTTGCGCCCAATGGCATAATGAAATATGATGATGATCTTTAGAGTGGAGAAGGAAAGATCTTGCAGTCCCCTTGCAAATGCTAAAGACTTGTGCTATAGGAAATACACAAATCTGAATGTGCTTATATAGAGCCGGAAGTTTGCAATAGATAGATAGTGTGTTCTCCTATATGGATTACACTCCAAAAATACGCCCATTTTCCGGCTGGCGAACGAGCATGAATGCAATTTGTAGAAAAACCCGGAGTATGATAAAGGAAAACAAATTTTTGGTTATTTCATAAAATATATATAGGCATGTTTTTTTTTATTTTTATTTTTATGACATTTTGGAATGATTATAATGTAGTACATCATATTGTATGTATGTGTGTTGGTGTGTATGGGTTATATGTGTGTATGTGTGTGTGTGGCACAGTCCACGAATTACAACTAGAATAAAGTCTAACTCCATAAACTCGCTCTGTGTGTGTGTGTGTGTGTGTGTGTATTTGATTACATTCATTTTTTCTTGTTTTTAAATTTTTTTTGCATTTTGTTACATTTCTTTTTAATTTTTTTTTTTAATTGTATGTAATTTATTTATAATTTTCATCTTTTCAGATTTTTGGAGAGGAAAGTTTCAGTTGTTTTTTTTTTAGTTTTTTTTATTTTTATTTTTTTTTTTATCGCTACATAGGCACGTCAGTTCTATTTGTTGTTGTTTGCATTTGTTTTTTTTTTTTTTTCTTGTGGATTGTTTTTTATTTTCTTCTTTTCTTGCTTTGCTTATAAATAATGTTAATAATACATGTTTTTTATTAATTTTTGTTTTCTTTTTAATTTTTGTATTGCATACAAAAAAAAATAGCTGGAAAAAATACGTTTGAATAGTAAACAGAAAATACTAACTATATACACATATCTATAAGTATATATACTATATATCATGTATATATAGGGGCGTGTATGTGTGTGTTTTTTGGAGGGGGTTTACAATTTCAAATTACAAAAATACTAAACTATCGATAGACATTTATCGATAAACACAATCTCGCTCAGTTGAGAGAGCTCATAGCTTATCACTCTCTTCCCTCTGGCTCACTCTCCTCCTCTCTCTCTCTCTCTCTCTCTCTCTCCCTATCTTTCTCGAACTCTATCTCTGCTCTTCATTCGATAGACCTTAGTTATAAAGAAGCTAAGCTGCAAATACAATCGCCTTGACGATCAAAAAATAAACTATATTTTATATTTATGTATTTAAATCGTAAATATATACTGTAAATAAATAGAATTCTCAGTATTTTTTTGTATTGTAAGTGTTGTTGTCTTCTTCGTTTCATATCTCTTTTGTTTCTTGTTTTGTTTTTGTCTAATTGGCTAATTAAATATTGTTCGCTTGTCTTAAATGTGTGTATGTGTGGGTGTTTAGGTGTTTGGGTGTATGTGGGGGAGGGGGGAGGTCACATGGGGGTACATAATATCTAAATGTTTTAACAATTTCAGCTATTGCACTCTAAAATTAAAAGAAAATAATTAAATAAAATATTTTTTTATAAAATGCTGCCTTTCTATTCGCTTCTCAGCAAAAACAAATTACATTTTTAATATATTTTGTTGTTGTTGCTCTTGTTGTTTGTTACTGTTGTAATTGCACTTGTTATTGTTGCTGGTATTTTTTGTATTGTTTTTTTTTTTTTCTTTTTTGTATTTTATCTCATGTTTTTTGTTGTGTAACTTTAGGTTCTTGTTCTTGTT